ATCCGTTCTATTTTGGTTCTACTTTTATATGTACAGCATATAGGAGGAAAGGAGGAAAATAAACAAAATAACCAGATATAAAAGATAAGCACTAACACATGTTAATAGGCGGAGAATTACGGACTCTGGCAATCCCGACATTTACTACTCTGATCCATACCCTTGCTCCACCAATCTCATCCCACGAACGACTTCAAATACATATAACACATGACCTTGCCGGTTATCCTGCTCTTGACCCGTTGATATACCATGTTTTTTCCCGGGTGATGGCCCAGGTTGAAGGAGGAGAGTTACTAGTCGTCCAGCGAGGCCAAGAGGCTGCCCCAAGACGAGGCAAAGATTCCGCTTCCGCTTCGAAGAGCGTAGCCGGTTGGCATGATGGTCCGTGGTGGCGCGAGTACTCTCCAGATCAACCACGTTCGATCTCCGCGATCCATGGCACAGTAGCTGCCACGAAACTCGCGCGTGCTAGTGCAGAATCATACGCAACCGAATACTTTGCTCCCCGTGGAGGCCTCGAAGAAGCCGCACGCCAGGCCTCCGAGATACTCTCGGAATCAAACCCCGTTCGCAATAGCGATATCTTCCTGGCAGTACAAGCAATAAGCCAGCCAGCTTCAGAAGAGTTGTTTCAGGCGGGCCCCACTGGCGATGCTGAAAAAACTCCTAGTGGAATAGTAGAAACAAAGGAGGAGCCAGAGAACGAGATTTCATTTGCCATATACCTGCACGACCCCATCCACGGGATCGCCTTCCATACGGTTTCGCAGTCCATCCCACAGCAATGGATTGACTGGCTGGATGCACCGACTCCGGTCTCCGATCCCGAGGATCCAAGCGGTATCAGAGGATCTTCCATGATCCCGGATAGCATTGCAGAGATAATTGAGAGCGGAGGGGTTGATCCACGTGAATGGGTGGCTGAGTGGGTTGAAGATACCATCACTTTAAGCGTTGGCGTGGTTGCACAGCGCTACGTTGCCCGTAGGATGGGAGTTGGCGAAGGAGGTATCAACAAGGGGAAGATGAAAGCCGAACAGGCCTCAGTTGTTGATAGTGGAGCAGGTGAGGCTGCGAGAGCGATTTAAACCGAGGGCTTCCCGTTTCTACCAAGCTTTTTTTTCTTTGTATAATTTTTTTTGGTCTGTATTTCTTCCGAGTGGTATTTTATTTTCAAGATTCGACATATTGAGTTTGAACCGGCACCCCGAAATCCAAACATAGCGTATATTCAAGATTCTGTTGACCTGGAATGGAATTTTTTGTTTCATTGAGTTTTTATTATTCATGTTTATGAGTATTATGGGCTACTAGCGGATTTGTTATATGTATGCCCCTAATTTACTGCCAACTGTTCAATGCCAGTCTCGATTTCTCACAGGTTCCTCCAATGGTGTCCCGTGCCTCCTTGAACAAATCAGTATTGTCCCAAGGAAGTAGAGTCAGTCCCTCATACTCTCTAGTACCCGGAGTGGAGAACAGGCAGCAAGAGCCGAAGGATTCATTGGGAGACCCCGAGTATGCGCTTGGAGATAACCTTCCAGGTACTGGTGTACATCCTGATATGCGTCTGGGCCTTCATCCTTGTTGGTTCAGGTGGCGGTACTCTGTAGACCTCCAGGGCTCAATTCCAACCAGGCATCGATTGAATGGCGAGACTTCCTGCCACTTTGGTTTCCGCACATTCATTTCTTTGCTGCAGCGGCTTTTTCTATATCTTTCCTGGTACCCTTAAGCATCTCCAAATGTCCAGCTCTTTGCGCAAGGCTGCGTTCAGTTTTCGCGGTGAGGCCAGAGGAGAGTTTCTATACGAATCAGTATATTAGCTGCAATCCCAATCCAGACGCAAAATAAATTTGAAGGAGACAACGAGCTCACCTTGATCAGCTTCTGCTGCTTGACTAAAGTCGCCTTCTTTGGAGCTATTTTTCGAGCGCCTTTCTTTAACCCTAGCACGGATCTGTGGTCGAGTTAGTTAGATGGAGGCTGTCTGATGAATAGATGGATGACGGGACTCACTTTTTGGATGAGGCAGGCTTGGAGACCTTCTTTAAAGAGCCTTGGACCATGTTGAGTTCGATCTCTCGCTTGAATCAATATAGTTCGCTAATAATTAATTTGTCTACAGTTTCTTCGTTTATAATTCTTGATCTTCGTTTTCTGTAATATTATTTTTTTTTCTCGTTCCCCTTTTGGCTTGTTTGCGGCGTTTGCTTGGCAGAGGGAGTCAAAATCCTCTAGTCCTAATTTAGAAAAGCAGATGCTGGTACGCGGCCGGGCCACACTAGCCCAGAATGGACATGCAGACCTTCGTTGCTTGTTTGTTTTTTTAATCTTGTTAACGCAGTAATCAAGCGGGATTGCAGGGCATACGCAAGTCCTAGAAAGCGAGAGAAACATGGATGTCTATTTAGTGGAGATTATAGATATCGCATGTAAGCAAGGAGCGCCAACAGAAAGTACGAACGGGAACTTCGGTAGGGCGAGGGATTTGGGTTTCAAACGGTCCAAAATGCCGCCCCCCTAGTTGCTAGCATGGCCAATCACCCTTAATGCAACGAGCAAAACGATTTCTTGTTGGTCCAGGGAGCACAATTTAATCCTGGATTCTCCGTACTTCGTTCTTCCTGAACCAAAAAACAAAAAAGAGAGAGCGCGATAAGACTTTAGGCGACATGGGCCTGATCAGGGACCACATGAAGTATCCTGGCTCTGTGAGTGGTTCATCCCTTGTCTGGCCTGGTCCCATTCCCGGCGATACGGAGCCTTCAGCTGGAACACGAAGACGTCTTTTTTTTTTTTTTGAGGCAGTGTACTCCGTACTCCGGTATTTTCATCACACCACAGGCGAGGAAGCATCCCCTAAAATTGTGAAAACCTTACACAAGAAACACGCTAACGGAACTGAACAAGATAGGCGGTTAATAGCTCTAAAAGTACGGATGCCACGTAATAGGGCCCTGTAACAGAGCAGGCAAACAAATGGCGTCAAAGATACCATCGTTGATCGCTGACGGGGGAGCCTGTTCTCCCGCCCAGGTGTTATGGACCTAGATTCCAGTTTCCCACTTCGTTTCATCCTTCATGCCCCCATAAATATATCTCTCTCTTTTAGCTCTGTTTGGTTAGGGGCTTAAATCCATCCTATCGTGGTGTCGTTCGAATAACCACTTTCGCCAAATGTGCCATTATTCTCTTTCTGCCTTAGTCCCACCAGAGAGACCTTGCTGTCCTCTATTTTTCTTATTTATGTGTATAAATCCCACTACGCACAAATGATTGGAGGTTCTTCTTGCCAGCGATTGCCGCGTGCTTTGATTGTTGCTGCGTGGATAGCTGCGTTTCTTACACTGGTGTCTTTTTCGCTGGGCCGTATTCATACATCAGATCATACCACTCAATCATCCTTTGGTGCAAAATGGTTCACCCCGCCGCATACTGAAGACAGAGGGAGTAACGACCCCGAACAAATATCCTGGCTGGACAGTGACAATCCAACCACAACTATCCTCCATCCAACAACCACCGACACCCCATCAACTACCGCCGCTTCCGCCGAATCCGAAAGCACACCAATAACCTCAACCACCCAAATACCGTCATCAGCTCCCGTACAACCTCGAATCCCCGGTGCCATACCTGGGATCCCGCCCAAGATATGGCAGTCATACAAGACCGTCAAGTTTGATGAAAGGCATGCCAAAATCGTCGATAGCTGGGTGGAGAAAAACCCTACCTTCCGCCATGAAATATTGACCGACGGGGAAGCAGAGACCTATGTCCGGCAAATGTACGGAGCTACAAGGCCTGACATTGTGGACTTGTATCTAAAGTTACCGCATATCATTCTAAAAGCAGACCTCCTAAGATACCTGATCCTGCTGGCAGAGGGTGGTATCTGGAGTGATATCGACGTGACCTGCGAAAAGCCCGTTTCCGAGTGGCTCCCCGCCGAAATGTATGAGGATACCGCGGAACCCATCGGTCTGATTGTCGGACTCGAATTCGACTCCATGTCTCCCAAAAACGGTTCCGAGCTCTGGTCGCAGTGGACTAACTGGGCATTTGCTGCTAGCCCTGGTTCACCGCATTTGCAGTATGTCGTCGACGACATCGTCAAGACACTTACTACTGTGGCCCATGAAAACAATGTGGGAATTGAGCAGATCGAGTTAAAGATGATCACCGATGTGGTCGAGGTAACTGGCCCCAGAAAACTGACCAGGGGGGTTGCAGCGAGCCTAGGCAAGATGCTCGGCTACCCCGTGTTAGATCGACATGTTGCGAAAATAAAGAAGCCCACCATGCTGGGGGATGTATTGCTGATGCCTGGGAATGCATTTGCGGCGAGACAGAACGGATTCCCGAAAGATCAGGGAGATGCCCTGGTCACCCATCATTATGATGGGTCGTGGAAGAAGGAGGCAGATGCGGCCAAGGCAGACAGAAAAAAGCTCGAAGAAGAAGCGAAAAAGGCTGAGCAGGAGAAAGGAAAATTAAATGGCAGTTGATTTTGCCCCCCCATGATGAGAATCTTTCTTCCAAAAGTTAACAAACCATCTTTGCATGCAATCTGTCGATTTACATTGAATATTTGACTAGTACTTTTAGCGGGCCCAATAGATTTAATAGCATTATTATTTTTTTGTCAACTTGTTTAACTCCCGGTTTGTTGGAATAGAAGCAATGTTTAATTTCTTAATTATAAAAATTGTAGAATGAGATCCTGTTTTTAGGTTGTTGTAGATTTGGATACCAAGAGAGTAAGGTCTTCCATCCTTGGTTTATCTACCATCCAGGGGAACCAGGGCAACCAAGAAGTTGCGAATGTAAACAAAAGTGAAAAAAAAAAGTAGAAAAAAAAACATGAGCTGTATGTATGTATGTATACAAGTCCAATATATAAATAAGGACTCTAAAAGAAAAAGAAAGAAACAAAACATCAACTCAGTTCATTCATCCTTAATAAGATGGGTGAAAGAAAAAAAAAATATTATTGACAAGAGTGGGATTCGAACCCACGCATCTTTCGATACAGCAAAGTGTAAAGGGTGATCCTTTTAAGCTTTCGCTTGAGTGCTGCGCCTTAGACCGCTCGGCCATCTTGCCTGTTTCATAACAAGAGGACGGCTAATTTTTTGGAAGTTCCCAACCCAAAGTATTGTGAGTAAACCATCTGCACAAAAGTAACTTGGTAACTAGGTAGTGGGTATCTAGGTTCCAAGGTTGTTGACTACTGTTTTGTTTACCATAACAATCCAACCAGAGAAGGTAGAAATTGAAACTAAGTTGCAATTCTTCTGTCTATTTATATTCATTGGCAGAACATTTATTCCTCCCCCCCTTTTTTTCTTCTTCCAAATTGTTAAGAAGGACGGAGTTAGTAGTTATGATCGGTTCTTGAGAAGTTCACCCCCATCCTGCTTCCTCGGTTCGCGGGCTTCAGCATCTGCTTAACTCCCCCTATACTGGAACTCCATTGGCCGGTTGAGCACGGTTTGTTCCGCTTCTAATTTCACGAGAGCCCAGTTATGGAGACGAACCTGTACCCAACAATCGCATCAACCTACTTTGTTGTTCTTCCTGTTCCGCATAAGAAATGGACTATCCGTTCGTTCCTTCACATGCGAATCCCCAGACACACTCCAATGCAGCGATAAATATTAGCAATCACCGGAGCCTATCGCCCTCGTCCTCGTCTACGTTTGGATCTCTGTTTGCGCCGAATCTATCTCCTCCTCCTTCCCATTCAGACCAGCCCCTCAACGTTCAAACCCGACGGCTGCAACTAAGAAACGCAGGGTTTCGTGGCACGCTATTGCAGGCAGCACCTATTCGAGAAGCAAATCCGCAATTTGAAACATGGGGCGGCGTTCCTGGCAGCGTTGGGGCGGATGAAAACAAAGAAGACAATTGTGGCACAGGAATATCCTACGATTCTTACCAACCGGAAATAAATCGCCGTACTAGTCCCCAGAAAAGACGATCCAGCAGTATTCTGAGAGAGATTAGTACCTCAAACCGAAGGCGAGAAAGCAATTCCTCATCTTCCTCGACCGGTTCGATATTCAAGGGCTCACCTTCAAGAGCCGCGCAATCTACTTTCCCTTTTCCCAGTCTCAGAAATAGCCCCGAACCACAACCTTCACATTCGGATTGGGAAACTGCCGAAGAGATGGGGGAGGGTGTTCAATCCATTCGCGGCTCATTTTCCCGAAAAAGTTCGCTAGCATCTTTGGAACGAATAAAAAGACTCAGTGGGAAGGGCCGTGATGGTCGACGTGACACTTCAGCATATATTGAACACCTCGAAAACCAGTTGGCTGCTTCGATGCATGATTCCGAGATGCCGGACTCCAGCGTCTACCTTGCTCGGTATAAGGCTTTGAGCGCGGAACATCGGGCTTTGAAACAGGAACTGGTAGAATGGGAGGAACGGTTCGAAGCCCGAGTCGAGGAAGAGACCTTTGCCATGCTGCAGAAAGACTCCCAATCAAAATCAAAACTCCGTGCCTTAGAGAGAGAGCTCGAAACAAAGGATAATAGGATTCGTGAGCTAGAATGGGAAGTCGAAATGGATGCTCATAAACTACGAAGTCTGGAGGCTATTAAATCTACCAATCGAAGTTTGGAACGTCGAGTCGATGTATTGACGGGCTTGCTTGCTCAATCGCCTACGAGGGCTGACCTTGATACAGCAATACCCATAAGCGCAGAATCGCCTGGCGGAGAGGGATCTCATCGAACACCTAGACCTAAATCGATGTTCACAAAGATCCCTCTATCACCAGTCCGTCAACCAATCATCCAGCCTCTGACAATCCCCGAACCGAATTCTATGCCGCTCTCTTCTACAGAATACCCCAAAGCAGCGGAAGCTCCAGATGACGACAAAGCCACAGAAACAAGCGATGAGTCCCTCGTGGCCAACGATTGCGATCTCCAGACCGGAGCAACAGATGCAGTTGCTTTTCCCGAATTTCCGTCGACGGATTCCGGTATCGGGGATTCATGCTCGCCTCCTTCTACGCGCGCCCCTGGATCACAGCGAGACTCTTTCATCTCCCACTCTGCTCATTCTTCCATATCAACAACAGCATTCCCCCTATCGCCAGATTTTCAAAGCAAACTACGGTACCGACAGAGAAAAATGCGTCGGTTCCCTTCCGGCTCTTGCTCCCTTAAACCATTTGTGCTTCCTGTTGCATCCGCAGTATTAGCCCCGCCATACCTTCCAAGCAGTCCGATTCAAACAATACGGGATTCGCGACGATATTCAACGGCACATTCTCGTTCTAGTTCAAATTTTGACGATTCGTTTCTATATACCGAGGAGCTACAGTACAAGCGGAGAGACACCTTGAATTCGTTGGAAGGAAATACCCGTAAATACCAATCGTTTGAAGAAGCGATGGCTGGACACGATCTATCCGAAGTTCCAGACGAGGAAGAAACATTTGTTGCAGCATTGGATGTCGATCTAGCCGATCCAGGTACAAACCTACGGAAAGTGTTTGACCTGCCGAGGACTGAAAGCGATATTGATATTGAGCCATGCAAACGTGATATATCGCGGAGATATGGGGATCTCATCCAGCATAATACCGATACGGTAATTATCCGTGGAAGAAATCAAGGACTTTACCGTGATGTGTCTTCCAGAATACACAGTGGCAATTGGCCACGCGCCGCTAACTCAAATCGAGGATCTAGCTCCGATAAAAAAGGAGAGGAGTCATGGCTGCAACGGTTTAACATCTCGCGATTCCTCGCGAGCTCGCGCTGTATAGCTAGATATATCTTCTCTAATTCATGGCACTCGAATTGGAAACGACTTGGGTCGATATCATGGTGGTTCCTAGGCATCGTGCTGGGACCCCAAATCAGAAATAACTGCTTCGAACGGTTTGCATATAAAGCCATTTCCGAGCCTGGGGTTCGTTTGAGCCCGGAAACATCCCCGCTTGGACATCCCGGATCTCCATCGTTTACTATGAGCTCCTCAAGAGGGACGCGTTTGTCAACACACGAATCAGCACTATCCTCAAAGGCGCGATCATATAGCAGCGCTTCACACACGGTTGGGTCTAAACCTAGTGAATCAGCATTTGCACAATTCGCTCGAAACCCGGCCAATACGGTGCAGCTTTGGGTGAGGTTTTCTGTCACATTGGTTCTAGCGATCGGGTTTGCTGTGAAAGATGGCCCTGCATCCTTGATGTGCGAGTGTCCACTGGAACACGCGACGAATCTACCCGAGCCTTCGACCAGGGGAAAGTCCTCCCAGATAGACTACGACTCGCCGTATCTAAGCCCCGAATAGCCTGTGGGATATGATACCTCTTTTTTTTCTTTTTTGCATCTCACATTTCGGTTCTTCTTTATGTCCGTTTTCGATAAGGTGTTTTTAATGACGAGACGTTTGTAATATTTTTTCCCTCTCCTCTCACGCAGGAAGTAGTGGCATCGTACAGGAACGAACCACCTTGGATGATCGATCCAATACCCCGATGTTGATACTCCGATCTCGATGACCATCATGCTATTCTTGCACTGTTTGAAAACACCTGTACATTTACTCACAATTGGTTCCGTGTACATGGTTACGGTTGGAGTTACACCAGCGTTAGGTATCCATTGGCAACCAAGGCGCGTAAATAGATACATAGATACGTAGATAATACCAGCCCTGATTAAATTAAATCAAACTACGAATACAATTCTCATGATCGTACTTATATTATTCGCTCGTTGACCAGATAATAGATCTTGGTGCCAGAGTTGACATGTCGATTGATAGTCTACAAAAAAAATCCAATCCAGATGAATTAACTGGAAGAAAAAAAAACAAAAACACTCTCTCGAATCGTGATACAGAAAAAAAAACAGCAATGTCATATAACCGATTCATAGCATCGTTCTCTCGCGTCCCTCGCGAAATATTCCGAACCAATAACGGACCAACAGTCCGGCTACGCGCCCATATTGGACCTGTTAGACCCAGAGGCAAGTTTGACCTCTTGACGACGCAGGACGGGAGAGTTCTCCCCAAAGCTCTCACCCCAGCGCAATATGAATGTACGTTCTTATTTCTCCCATTAAACTAACCAACTAACCAACAAAGTGACCAATTGACTAACTAATTTGTTTCCAAGGGCCAAATGGCGCGTCCCTGAGGTGTAATTCGCGAATGCAGCACTGGCTGGTGCGGTCGTTTAAGGTGCCAGATGCATGTGTATATGTGCTGCGCGAGGGAGTCGATGTACCCCGGGATTTGATCTTGGTGCATGAGTTCGCAGATCATTATTCATTACAGGCAAGGAAAGAAATGACTGTACCCGGTATGTGTATATATATCCACGTATTCTGGGGAAGTAATTTTTTGGAGGGAGGAAGAAGAGTGTACTGACTTGAGAGGATGTTGTTATAGAGCTGGAAGAGAAGATTATGGCCTTTCTACAAGGCAAAGGGGAATTGTTGGGCAAGGCAGAGTGGATGAAGAGGTATCCGCAGCCTGAATATGATTGAGATTATTGAAGCATGGAGTTTGGGGTTAAACTGGTTGTTTTTATTATTCTCCTCTCTTTTGTTTTTATCATATTCCACTCACTTTGAATTTCTCCTCTTCAGTATTTTATTATCCCCACTGTATATCATACGATTTGGATTAAGTTGGTGGGTGATCTTCGGTGTTACTTGGGAGATCGGTGGGATAGAATAGGGATCGACGGGTGGACGGAGTCAAAAGAAAAGAAAAAAAAAGAAAGTGTCTTCCAGAAGTTTATCTGCCATGTGTAACTTGCGAACTCTTTTTTTTACTTTTGACAGCTGGTTCGGTTTAGAATGGGCCCCAATACAACGTTTCATACATATCGATCGTGGTACGAAGTACTGCGAATTAAGAACAAGGACGAGGACGACGAGAGAGGGGTTGGAGTTGGATATGATGTGTTCATATTACTATACTGCGTACTTTCAGAGAGCCATACAGATTGAAAGTGGAACGGATAGATTAAAGAGAAAGAAAGAACTGGGTATAGTATATACAGACGCAAACATATCAACATGAGAAGAATAAGAAAGCTCCAGCTCTAGTTATCGAAAATGAA